ATAAATTATGATTTTCTTTATCACTGTTAGATCTCTTTCAAAGTCATCAATTATTTAACAGGCTTATTTTCCTCTTCTCTCTTTCTTTTGCGTCCCTCGCTAGTGTCTTGCTTATCGTATAATCTTTTTAAAGTTCTGATTTTGTTTACTCTTCCTTTATTTCTGCCCTGATATTTGTTTTTCATAGTTTTGGGTTTATTTTGCTTTTTCTTTTCTATTGTTTAAGTTGCTGGCCAAGTTTAAGTATGTGATTTTTGGATCTTTTATCTTTAAAAATGTAAGCATTTTTGCTGAGTTTTCCTAAAGTGTTGCTTTTTTTGTATCTCAAAGGTATTAATATGCTGTGTTTTCAATATTGTTTAGCTCTAGGAATTTTTTAATTTGTAAATTTTTAATTATAAAATTTTAAACATAATTTAATTAAATAAATTGATTTATCCTATGACCCACTCATTTCTCAGTAGTGGAGTTGTTTCCATACATTTACTTTTCACCCTATATTTCTTATTGATTTATTGTTTTACCCAGCACTATAGGCAAAGTCGTCTTTGTCTGATTTCAATCTTTTAAAATTTGTTGAAACTTGTTTTGTTCCCTAAAATATGTTCTGGGAAATGAGTTGTGTGTACTGGAGAAGAATATGTTTTGTCTTGATACTAGGTTAAGTGTTCCATATATGTCCATTAGGTCTAATTGTCTTATGGTTTTAATTACGTTCTCAATATCCTTTTTAAGCTTCTTTTAAGTGTTCTATCTACAATTGAGTGGCATTTTGAAGTCTCTATTAATATCGTAGAGTTGTCTACTTATCCTTTTATAACAATTACTTTATGTTTCATGTATGTTGGTGCTTTGTTAGTTGCCCATATATTTATAATTGTAATGTTCTCTCTTGCATAATTGATTCTTTTATTATTAGGTAACGCTCTTATTTCAATCTATTTCTTAAGTATGGCCACTCAGCATCTTTTGTGTTTACTGGTTTCATGGGTTATTTTTCTCCATCATTTTATTTTCATTCCATTTGTGTCCATATGTGAAATGTGTGTTACTTGTCGACAGCAAAAGAATGAGTCATGGGATTTTACCCTTATGTCACTCTCTGACCTTGACATGAGATAATTATTCATTTACATTGTGAGGTTATTATTCAGAGCAATGTGTCTGACACATGCATCTTCTCATTTGTTTTGTGAGTGTACCAGATCTTCATTATTTATCCAGTTCTTTTCTGTTTTCATTTGTATTTGGCTGATTTCTTGTGATGAACTATTTGAGTTCTTCTTTTCTTCTGAGTGTTTTCCCCTTGGTTATTCCTTAGTAGTTATCACTTATGTAACATTGCACAACTTACAATTGCAATACTGTGTACCAAACTGCTTGAACAGCAGTTAATACAGAACTTTAACATAGTAGATCTATTCCTTACATCGTCCTCCCTCCTCCATTTCTTTTGGTATGTATCCTTTTTTATCAGTATAAAACCTACATTCGATAGGTTTATTTTATGCTTTTTTCCTTACAAACTTGTGCTTTTGTCAGGATTAAATTATGGAGATTATTTCTTGAAGGTATCATATGAAGAGGTAGACCCCCCCCCCCAAAGTTATGTATTTAATTTTTTTTTACAAAACAACCTTATCACCTTCAAAGTACTCTTCATTACATATAATACATTTGTCAAACGTGTGATTCCATCCTTGGAAACATTTTTCAAACTCATCTGTTTGGATGGCTGATATTACCTCCCTCATGTGTTTCTTCTATGTCATCAAATTGCTTATCTTCATGTCCCTCTTTATTCACAGAAACAAAAAGAAATTGCACGGAGTGAGGATAGGTGAGGTGAGAGGGCATTCTGTTTTTGCGAAAAACTGGTGCACTGAGATGGTCGCATGAGCAGGTGTATTGTCATGGTGGCAGAACCAGTCCTGTCTGCCACAAATCAGGCCTTTTTTGTCAGATACTGTTCCACAATCTTTTCAGAACCTCTAAATAGAAAGCTTGATAAACAATCTGACCTGGTGGAAAGAACTCCAAATGCACCACCAGTCTACATTTTTGTCCATTCAGGAAGTTGACAGATGGCCAGAATGACCAGAATAAAGTTTATCATCAATTGATATTTCATCTCTGTTAAAACAAGAAAATCACTCATACACTTGAGTTTTTTTTTCCCCTAAAGTACTTTCCTTGTAAGCTGTGTTCAACATCACAACACTTTCTGTAGCATTTTTTCTGAGAAGTAAACAAAATTTCACAGTTGCATGCTGTTCTCTGAAATTAGCCATCACACAAAAAAGCACAAAAACGAGGTTTGAATGAAACTGCTTTTACCAAAAAAAAAAAAAAAATCACTGTGAATGGAGAGTACTTTCCCAGGTGATACCACTGGGTGCACTAGCTCAGAGCGAGTTGCTGGATGCTCACCTTGTGGGAAATATTTGTACTGCAAAAGCTCTTCTCTAACCAGCGCATTTTTTGAGGGGTTACCATATAATTGGCCCATATGATTGCATAGTTTGCAATAATTTGGGGAGATCTTTTTCTCCTTATTATCTTTGTATTTATTTCCTATGATGAATAGATATGCATATTTATTTAATAATCTTGAATTTCCACGGACTAATACTAGAGTAATACTTGCAAACTAGTCTAGTAGTTACACATTCCTAGAAATTATTTGTTTTGGAATGTCTTAATTTCCCTCTCATTTTTGTAGGGTGGAGATTTCTTGGTTGGAAATTATTTTCACATAATATTTTTTATATGTCCCTCAATTTTCTTCAGGCCTCTAGAATTTCTGGGGGAGTCTATGAAAGAACCGTGGCATTTAAACTGGGGTTTCTCTTGCTGCTTTTAGAATTTTCATTATTTTGGTTTTCAACAATCCTACTAGATTAAACTATAGTGTGCAGATGTTCTTTTTTTGTCTCTCTTAGTTGGGGTTTATGTAGCTTCCTGTGTTTACACAGGAAAGCTTGGTTCTTTGTTAATATCTTAGAAGAATTTGTCTAATTATCTCTTTGAAAATTGTTTCTATTTCATTTTTGTTGTAATGGTAGTCTGGCATTGCAGTAATTCTAATGTTATATGTATTAGTTAAAACCCACAGTTCATTTTGTGTTTATTATTTGTTCTTTAGTTGTTCCTGATACTTGATAAGTTTAGTTACTTTGTTAACTAGTTCATTTATTCTATCTTTTGCCAATTCAGCTCTATCTTTTTACTGTTTCTTTTGATTTTTTTCTATTTAGATTGCTCTATCTTTCAGTTTCAAGCATTCTTCCCATTCTCTTTTTCTTTCTGTTTTCAGTATCCTTGTAGAGTGATTTTATTCTTTAATTTGTTCCCCAGTCTCTGTTACTTCATTTTCTGTGTGTTTCTTGCTATTTGAAGTATAAAAAATCCCATAGGCTAAAAATGACTTATTCCATTAGCCCTATCTTCATAGAATAAGTTTGCTTTTTCTCATGTTTTGCCTTAGTTTGTGCTTTAGTATTTTGAATCATTTTTTCTCGGTTTAAATTTTATATTCTTGTGTTTGTGAGATATTTTTCTCATTGAATATCCCGGTATTACAGTGGACAAGAGTCCACCTACTAACCAAAAACCATGACTCATAACCACAAGCTGTGCTGGGGAGTAAAGATTCAAAACTTTTCAAAGATTTGCAGCCCTCGGAAAAACATGAGACAGCTCCATTCCACCCCACAAGGTCATTATGCATCATAATTGATCCCGTATTCGTGGGTTGGGTATCTTTACCTGAGGACAACTAGTGCAGGCTCCTTTGTCTTTGTTGTTTTGTTTTTTTCAAGGTGATTCCAGAGTTCTGGATGCTTGACCTTTGGAACTTATATGTGTGCAGGGGAGAGGGATTTATCTTGTCACAGATGCTGCTGTCCCCAGTAAGGCTCAACATTTCTGTATGGACATGGGTACTCTCTATGTTCTTCCTTCATGCTAACCTTGCACAGTCTCTCCCACAATGTCCCTCTGTCAGCAGAAAGCCATCTTATATTTGTGTGGACCAATTTTTTGGCTCTCTGTCCTGATCTATTTATCTTTCCTTTCACCAGTACCACACTTCCCTAAACACTGTGGTTTTATTGAAAATCTTGACATTGGTGTCAGTCCAACTTGTTTGTTACTCAATATTGTGTTGGCTTTTCTAGGTCTCTGCCTTTCTTTATAAACTTTGGGACCAGTTTGTTAGTATACCCAAAATAATTTGGTGCAGTGTTGACTGAGATGTGCTGAATCTCTAGATTAAGTTGGAAGTAATTCACAGGTGAGTAATATTATCTTCCTATGTATTAACATGGAATATGTATCCATTTGTTTATGTCTTCTTTGGCTCATCTTATCAAAATGTTCCCTTTGTATATCATGTACATGTTTTGTTAGATTTTTAACTATGTCCTCTTTCTTTTTGTTTTCTAATGCAAATTATAGTCTAATTAATATTTTTAGTTTTTCATATCTGGTATAAAGAAGTTGACTTTTCTGTATTAACCTAGTGTCCTAGTACCTTACTATATGAGTTTAATAGTTCCTGGAGAAACTATGTAAAATTATCTGAGTTGCCTAGTATTTTCATTCACATTATTTAAATACACTTTTCTATTTCTTATTTTTTAAGTGTTTAAAGCTTTCCTACATGAACAAGTATATGCAGATTTCAAGATTATCCGTTGCTTCTGAAACACCATTTATTCATTTATTTTTGCTTCAATTAATTTTATTCTGAGATACAGTTTTAATAGTTTTTCAACAAAGGTAAATGTGTGTATCCTTTCCATCTGTGTTTGATAGGGGACTTATTCAGCAGATATCTGAGTTGCTATAAAAACCATGTCAATGATTCGACATGCAAAATATAAACTGGTGTATAATTATGTCAGATATGAAATTGGGTATAATCTTGTCAAATGACCCTGAATCTTGTCTGTAGCACTCATGTAACCTCCCCTTTAACTACTTTCAGAAGAATCATCCCCATGGAACTAAGGAATCAAACGAGTGCATCTGAATTCATTCTTCTTGGCCTTTCGGAAAACCCAGAACAGGAAACTCTCCTCTTTGCTCTGTTCCTCTGCATGTATTTAGTAACGGCCATGGGAAACCTATTAATAATTCTAGCTATCACCTCTGACTCCCACCTCCAAACCCCCATGTACTTCTTTGTGGCTAACCTCTCCTTAGTTGATTTCTGCCTTACCACTGACACCATCCCCCAAATGCTGGTGAACATCCAAACTGGGAGCAAGTCTATCTCTTATCCTTGCTGCCTGATTCAGATGTACTTTTTCCATTTCTTTGGCATTATTGACAGTCTATTAATCGCTGTGATGGCTTATGACAGGTTTGTGGCCATATGTCACCCCTTGCATTACACTACCATCATGAGCCCACGCCTCTGTATCTTGATGGCTGGTAGTCCTTGGATATTTTCCTTCTTCATGTCCCTCACCCATATCCTCTTAATGGTTCGCCTGGTTTTCTGTGGCAGCAATGAGGTTCCTCATTACTTCTGTGACCTCACTCCTCTGCTCCGGCTGTCTTGCACTGACACCACAATGAACAAGGTTTTTGTGTTCATTGTGGCAGGGTTAGTGTTAGCGATTCCTTTTATCTGCATCCTGGCGTCTTATGTTCATATCACTTTGGCCATCATGAGGGTTCCTTCAGCAAATGGCAGGAAAAAAGCCTTTTCCACCTGTAGCTCTCACCTCGCTGTGGTCGCCCTTCTATATGGGACTACAATTGGGGTCTATCTATGCCCTTCATCTGTCCGCACAGCTGTGAAAGAAAAGGCGTCTGCTGTAATGTACACTGCAGTCACGCCCATGCTGAACCCCTTTATTTATAGCCTGAGGAACAGGGATTTGAAGGGAGCCCTAAGGAATCTTATCAACAGAAAAATCACCTCCTCTGCCTGACCACTAGGAACCTGGGAGCTTTTAGAAGATAGAATCTAAAACTCCAGGGTTTGGACAAAACTCTGAAATTTGGAAGAGTTCAAGGAGTAGTCAATTGATTTTTTCATTTCAGATACTTAAAGAAAATCTCAAGATGGCCCTGTAATTATTTTGTCAAGAACAAGAATTACTGAGTCTTTTTTTAGTATGTTTCTGCCTTCTCAGAAAACAACTTTTTGGGCCAGCCAGTTTGACATCACCTGGTTCAGAATTCATTAAGCACATAACAAAAACGCATTGAGTACCTATACTTAAGTTGACTAAGGGTATTATTTTAAGGAGAATGTGATATCAGGATTAGAGGGGAACTATGATATGTAGACGACATCTTCTAGCTTGCTGAAAGTGAGGGGAGCTTACAGCAGCTTTCAGTATGAATTGCAACTCAATGTAAAGAAAATAAAAATCCTTAGAATTGGACCAATTGACAAGATCATGATAAACAATGAAAAGATTTAAGTTGTCAAGGATTTCATTTTGCTTCCATCCACCATCAATGCTCATGGAAGCAGCAGTCAAGAAGCCAGATGGCATAATGCGTTGGCTTAATCTGCTGCACAATACCTATTCAAGTGTTAAAGATCAGAGGGTGTCACTTTGAGAAATAAGGTGGGTCTGGCCCAAGGTGTAGTATTGTCAACCACCTCATATGTACATAAAAGTTCAATGATGAATAAGGAATACCAAAGAAAAAGGGATAGATATGAATTTTGATGTCGAAAAGACTATTGAAAGGAATGTGGAAGAACTTTCAAGAAGAGCAAACAAATCTGTCTTGGGAGAAGTACAGGCAGCATTCTCCTTAAATGAGGAGGACAAGACTTCATATCACATGCTATCAACATGTTATCAGGAGGGCCCAGTCCCTACAAAGGACATTATGCTTGGTAAAGTGGAAAGCCAGTGAAAAACAGAACGACCTGCAATAAAATTAATTGGCACAGTGGCTGCAACTACGGACTCAAACAGAACAACAATGGTGAGGACGGCGCAGGACTGGGCAGTGTTTCATTCATTCTCTTGTAAATATGAGTCAAACCCAACTAAATGGGACCTAATAAAAATGATGTTTGGTGCTAGCAATACAATGGTGTGTAAGAGAGACATGGTTTTTGTGGTTGTGGCTTATTGATAAGTTTGGGAGACTCATATTTATTATGCAATTACAATGCAATGGGATCTGAACCTTCCAGTAGGAAGGTGGGATACAATAGAAACACCTGACATAATCTAGTGAAAAGGTTCTTGAAGGCTCCCTGGGAGAGTTTTACCAAATTGTAACTCTAGGATGGTGATGTTCAGGAAAAGATAATTGCTTTAAACTAAGTCAATAGTATATAATGCAGGAAACAGAAGGAGATAGTGGAAGAAAGAAATTCAATTGAGCATTGAAAATCCAGTCATGTTGAATGCCTTGGAGAACTAGGTCAAGAAGGACATTCAAATCTAACCTAAGCATTTGGACATCGTGACAACCAGGGAGCTATCTTTATTTCCAAAGACCAAATTCTGAGATCATGTGGATGAGGAACATTCTTCCCTACCTTTGTCAGGATGGAGTGTGCTAGAGAAAAGTGAGAGCCACAAAAAAGAATAAGATTCAGACTAGGGATTCACCATCTGATGGCTTATAACAAAAGGGAAGATACCAATTAACTGAGTCCTGAATCTCTAAATTAGAAGAAAATCTAGCCATGTATACCTATGGGATGCATGTAAGTAACAGCACAGCTATTTAGCCATTTACTTTCTGCCACACACTTTGCTATGTTTCCTTGCAGTGCCACATTTAATCATTTAAAAGTCCCTGTGAAGACATTAAATTGTCTTCTATTCTATTGTGGAACATCAAATAATAATATGATGAGATCAATATATTCCACCACATAAAAAAAAAGAATAAGAATGGGAAAGAACATGATCATTTGGTAAAATTCAACATTCATCCTGATAAAAATGATTTAAAAAGAGGTGGGTGAATTGGGAAGAAATTTGACTAGATAAGTGAGAGCATATATACCAAACCAGTTACCAACAACATCCCAAAAGAGAGATACTTAAAGCAGTCCCCTTGAGAGTGGGAACCAGACAAGGATAGCCTCTATCAAGATCCCTATTCAATATTATTCAGAAATCTGAGAAAGAGCTATATGGCAAGAAAAGGAAATAAACAACATCCAATTTGACAAGAAAAAAGGAAGACTTTTTATCTTCAGATGATAGTATCCTACAATTAGAAATTCAAGGAAAACCTCAGCAATAAAATTACTGGAACTAATTATTTAGCAAAATAGTGTATCAAAAGTCAACATACAAAAAGCAATGGGACTCTTTTACATTAATAAAGAAAACTCTGGAAAGGAAATTTGGAAGAAAATAATATTTACGAAGGCCATACAAAATATGTAATAAAAACCCTAATCAAAAAACTCCACTGCCTTTGATTCCATTCTGACTTAAAATTACCTGTTTCAGGACTCTGAGGCCATAAATCATTTTAGGAGTAAAAGTCTAATCTTTCTCCCTTGGAATAAGTAGTGATTTTGAACTATTGACCTTGCATATAACCCATTGCACTCTCACACTTAGGAATAAATCAAACCAGAGATACAAATGACCTCCAAAACAAACTCACTACAATTGAGTTGATTTGACTTACAGCAAACCTATAGGGCAGAGTGGAACTCCCCCTTCAGTTTCTGAGGTGGCAAATCTTTACAGGAGTAGAATGGATCACTTTTCTTCCTCATAGCAGTTAGTGAGTTTGATCTGCTGACCTTGGGTCAGCAGCCCTATTTATAATTAACTGCACCACCAAGACTCGTACAAAACATTTACACAAAGAAAAATGCAAAACACGGCTACAAGATATTAAAAGAGACCTCCAGTAATGGAAGAATATTTGATACTCATAAATAGGATAACTTAATGCTGTGAAAATTTCAATACTACCCAAAGTGATCTACAGATATCATGCAATCTCAGTTCATATGCCATCATCATCTTTTAAGAGATGGAAAGAGTAATCACTAATTTTACATGGAAACGCAAGGGAACCTGGATAGATAAACACTACTGAGGAAATAATAGGCTTCACACTTTCCCATTTCAAAGCCTACTAAACCATCATGGGAGTCAAAATAGTCTGGTACTGGAACAATGACAGATCTATAGTCCAATGATACAGAACTGATAACCAAGAAGTATAATAGTACTCACTTATGGAAAGCTGATCTTTGAAAAAGAACCACAATTCAGGGAAGAAATGGTTTCTATTGAAAGGTTCTTAGGCTCTATTGAGTTGGTTCTGACCCATAGCGTCCCTGTGCACAACAGAAGGAAATACTGCCAGTTCCTGTGTTATCCTCACAATTATTCCTATGCCTGAGCCCATGAGAGAAAGCAGTGCTGGCAAAACAGGATATCCATTTGGAGGAAAATGAAACAGGACCCATGTCTCACACAATATAAAAACACAAACACAAGATGAATTGAAGACCTAAATGTGAAACCTTGAGCTATATAACAACTAGTGGGGGTGACGGGGGTGGAGGAAGGGCCTTAATATATATATCCCATAAATACACTAATTATAATACACAACCAAAAAACACAAATTGGATAAGACAAAGCAGATGGCACTAAATCTCCAAACTCACTGCCATGAATAGTTTCTGATTCATAGAGACCATAAAGGAGTGGGTAGACTTGCCACCATGAGTTTCTGAGACTTGTCACTCGTTACAGAAGTAGAAAGCGCAGTGCTTCTCCTGTGGAGCAGCTGGTGTTTTCAACCTGCTGACCTTGCACTTGGCGTCTCAATGTGTACCTACTACATTACCAAAGCTCCTAAGTAGATGTGTGGGACTCACAAAAACTGCACATTATGTGTATCAAAAGATTTCACCAAAAATTCCAAAGAAAGCCCGCAGAATGGGACACAAATTTGCCAACAGCAAATATGATGGGTTAGTCTCTAAAATTTATAGGACACTTCAACAAGAAAAAGACAAATATTCCAATCTAAACATTGATAGATGATATGCACAGACCAAAGTAGACATCCATGCAACCAACCAAAGCCTGAAGAAATGCTCAAGATCATTAGACATTAGATGATAGAAAACAAAACAACAGTGAGATACCACCTTCCCTCAGCATGAATACTAAAGCTCAAAAAAAAACCAAAACAAAGCAACAGATGCTTGAAAGGATGTGGAGAGACTGGAACCCTCATACACTGCTGATGTACAACCACTGTGGAAAACTGCATGGCACTTCCTCAACACGTTGGAAATGGGAATACCATATGATCTAGCAAATCGCACTACTAGATATATATATATACTAGAGAAATACGATCCATGAAACGCAGATTTTTTAAAAAGGAAAAACCAAAATGTCTATCAACAAAAGAATGACAAACTGTGGTATATACATGTATATATATATGAATAATACTATGCGATGTTAAAGAATAACAATGAATCTGTGAAACACTTCATGATATGGATGAACCTTGAGGATATTGTATTGAGTGAACATGTTGTGGTTGTGGTGGTTGTGGTTGTGGTTAGGTATCATTGAGTCCGTTCCAACTCCCAGCAGTCCCGACATACAACAAAATGAACCTTGCCCTCTCCTGTGCCATCCTCATAATTGTTATATTTAAGTCCATTGTTTCAGTCCTGTTTTAATCCATCTCCTTGAATGTCCCCCTCTTCGTCACTCACCTACTTTACCAAGGAGGAGATCCTTTTCTGGACTGATCTCTGCTGAGAGCAAGTCTGAAGTACATGGCATTAGTTCATCACCAATGGGCAAATATCGTATGAAACCACTATGATAAAAATCCCTCAGTATTGAAACTGGTGACTTGAATTTTTCTTTAGTTCTTTCAGCCTGAGAAGTGCCACATGTGTTCTTCCTTTTGGTTTCCTGTTGCTAAGTCTGTGCACATT